ATAGGCCTTCAGGGTGATACATTCATCATATCAGTATGTACACAAATAACAGTGATCATGCATATACGCTTCACATGGCAGACAACACACTATACAAGTGATTCTCACTGTGCTCATTTGATGATCACGATGCCTCTTAAATTACAGCATACTTACTAAGAATATGAACTTGTCTGTCCAGTCAACTCCAGCTTTCTAAATGTTTCGTTAAGCTTATAAAAATAAATATATTTTGTGTCATGCAGTCCCACACCTGGCTGTGAAATCTCTACTTTGGTCTCTCAAACACAAACACACACCAAAACATTTATTGTGTCAGATAATCTGGTATAATAGTGTCGTCTGGGATTGTGTTTTGCTAGTATTCATGTAGAACTACTCTTATGCATTAATTAACCCAATCAGGCTGTTTAGACACACAGACCAGTGGTCTTTTAAATTGGTTTAAATAAATACCTGCAAGTTTGCAAGATCAGAAATGAAGGCTAAAATTTGCTTAAAGGGACAGTTCACCCCAAAATGAAAATTCTGTCATTAATTACTCACCCTCATGTCGTTTCAAACCCGTAAGACCTTCGTTCATCTTCGAAACACAAATTAAGATAGTTTTGATGGAATCTGAGAGCTGTCTGACCCTGAATAGACAGCAATGCAACTGCTTTAGCTTTGGCATTCTACATAATCCTACAAAATATAAATATACACACTACCTATTATGCTCACCAAGGCATAACAGACCGATATTATGGTCTATTATGCTCACCAAGGCTGCATTTATTTAATCAAAAGTACAATAAAAATGGTAATATTGCGAAATATTTTTTACAATGAATGATTTCTGAAGGACCATGTGACACTGAAGAATGGAGTAATGGTTGATGAAAATTCAGCTTTGCATCACAGGAATAAATTACATTTGAAAATATATTCAAATAGAAAACAGTATTTCACAATATTACCGTGTTTTACTATATTTTACATCATATAAATTCAGCCTTGCTGTCATTCACCTCAGAGCTGGTCAAATGTACAGCAGTCTGCTGCAGGTGGGCCGGTCTGGTCCTGATAATTGATAATTAGGGGCAATAACACAGCAATCGTTGCAGTTTCACTGTAGGGGGCTTCGCGTGCAACCAGCCCTGTCATTCAAAGACAGAGGAGGAGAGACAGCCACAGGTCTGAGGGAGAACCAGGGCGGGAAAACCAAACCCTTCAAGTAGGTCATGGTAGAAAACACACACACACACACACTCTAAAATCCACTTTCATAAGGTCTGACATTTTTTCAAAAAAGCTTTTTGTGATAATCCATGGTAAATGTGATATTAAAGCAGTAATGTTAAGCGAGTACATGGATTTCATTTAATAAAAGCAACCTGATACTTCAGGAATACAATCAAGGACGGACGTGAAATGGCTCATGATATCTTCGTGTTGCTACCTGCATCGTGTTTTTATCAGATTTAGCTTTCCAGAAATAGCTCGCTCACAGGAAATGGAAAAGGTATTTTTGACTTCCATTATGGAAAGCCAAAGGAAATTAAAGCTTATTCCAAACCTCCGGCCTGTATATTTTAACAGTCCATTGGCTAAATGCATATATTAGCTCACAACATCTGGGTCTTTTAGTCGGGTAAGTGTTTGCTTTTATGTGTGTGTTCGTTTGTGCTTTTACCAAACAGAACGAGTGAGAGACGGACTGCCATTATGTGTTCTGACGTTTTTGCACGTCAATGAAAAAACAGATGATGCAAGCTAATTTGCTGGTTTTGCTAAACTACCTGCAACGGAAAACAGCAAACCAACCCACAATAGTGATTCTGATCTAGGCTTTCATGATCATACAGACTATGATCTAATATTCTTTCTGTTAAGACACAACAGCAAGCGAACAAACATAAACAAACTGCTTAAAGGAAAATAATTTCCCACAACAAACAAGATTATAAAATGTTTTATCTATGATGTCATTTTGCTGGGTGAATCTCACAAAAAATAATTAAAAGGCAAAAGTAAGAAATTATATTTTGATATTAACATGACATTATTTTTATGTAAAAAAAAAAACAAGCACATTTTCCTCAAATTAAAGTAATGCATCTGGATGTTTTACTTTTAATTGTTTTTGTAGGCAAGTTCTCATTCTCATTGTATCACAGTAAAGGTTGCATTCAAAATTACTGTAATATAATGTTTTAATTATATTCAGCATAAAATGAATGCAATAAATAATAAGATGTATAAATTCCATTATTAAATAACATGTAATTTTCATTAATTTGATAAGAATATAATTTTTTTCATGTACTAGAAATAACAATAGAGGCCGTTCAACCAGTTCTCAAAGTAAAACTATTTTATAAAGGGGCCAATTGTGTATACATTTGTACAATGGGATTCATACAAAAATGTAACTGACTAAACAAACAGACATTATAAAGACTGAAAGTTAATAGGCGTCCCAATTCAGAAGCTGCATCCTTCGAAGGCTGCATTCGAAGACCTAATGCACCACAGCAGCCGACGAAGGTTGTCCCAGTTCGCGGTCTTGAAATGTGTCCTTCGTTTCCTGGGCCATGAAGGATACAGGAAGGCTATCCCAAGATCCATTGCGTGCAGTAACAATATGATTTTTTTTTTTCTGAGAGAAAATGTTGGACTTTTAAATCTAAGTATTGGGTTTCAACAGAATTAATACCTTACATTACAAAAAACACTATAAAGCTGTTTAAATGTTGACTTTAATCTTACTACGGAGAAGTTTACACGACAATGTGCTAAAAACGTAAACGTTTTTCCTGTGCGTTTTTCGTGTACAGACGACAAAGTTATCAAAACGATCCCGTTTACACAAATTCACGAAAATGACTTTAATAGCCATATTATGCATGCTAGGCCTAGTTGCTAATGTCATGTAAACACTATGCGTACACATAAAACGCCTGCGCATGACATTTTCACAAATTTGTGTTTTTGTAGTTGACACGGAGAAGATAGGTTATAGCCTACTTGCACTCTGAAACCCGTTTTCGTTTTGACCCCCAAAGTCATGCAAGTGAATGACCAAAATGCATAAGAAGTTTTCCGTTTTAAGTTGAAAACGGTGTCGTGTAAATGCGATTTGAGGCGCAACACCTCACAGCCCAGTTATCATCCACGCTTAATTTAAAAGGGTCATAGGATGCCCATTTTCCACAAGTTGATATGATTCTTTAGGGTCTTAATGAAAAGTCTGTAACATAGTTTGGTTAAAATTTCTCAATAGTAGTTTAAAAAACACCTTTTTTACTGACAAAAACAGCTCTTTTCAGATCAAGCCGTTTTTGTAGCATTTTCCTTTAAATGTTAATGAACTCTGCTGACCCCGCCCCTCTCTTCCGAGCTGCTCTCAGAGAGACTGTTTACTTTAGCCACATTCATCGTGAAACTTGCTAATTAGCACATTATTAGGAAAGGCGATTTGCAAAGATTCATTACAAAACATTATACTCACTTCTTCTGTAGATACACTGGATGGATTTTTATCATTATAGGGTGGTTGTGTACACACACTGCCAACACACATTTCAGTTCAAACAACTTGTAAAAGTGCATGTAGCATCCTATGACCCCTTTAAAATGTCGCCTTGCTTCTCTGTTAAAAATGGGAATGTTATTGAATGTTGCGCATTTTGGAAGCACCTGAGCGCTGCATGCCAGGTAAATCTTGATGAGAATTTAAGCTTGAATTAAAAAAATAAAATAAAATAAATTTAACTTTTAATAGCGTGTCTCAAAACCTTACCTAATTTTTTTTTCGTTGCTTGTTTTCGCCACCTTGTGTTTCATGTTTTTAAACACAAAAACGTGCCTAATTGGGCTCAAACGAACATCCTTTAGCCTACATGCGTCACTTGGTGTTGCTAAAACAGTTGATGAGTAAGTAGACGTGATATTCTCTCTATATAAAATGACCGCGTAATCAGCAACAGTTTTGATGCATAAAAACATCACCGTAAAGCAGCAGGCAGATAGGCTACCGTAAATGGAAAGTGGCTCTCCTCTAATAATTTCACAAGCATGACATCATCCCCAAACCCTTTCTAGATCCCTCGGCCGTGCCTCAGAGAGCAGCCCATTCGCCTAATGGCTAGCGAAAGCCCATAATGCCTGTCACTGAAGGAGACCGCATGTTGAGAGGCAGAGCTGGTCTTAAAGAGTAATGTTACCTTTTGACAGCAATTTGCCGATATCTACCTTTTAAAGAGGCTCTGGGGAACCGCAAAGACGCCAGGCACCTTCTCGTTCACGCGCGCTCAAGCACGGTGTCTAATCTCTGAGAGCGCGCTCCATCGCCAGATAAACTAATTAAAGTCGAACTCCCTCTTGGGTTTTTGGATTAAAGCTCATTCTGTTCTGGAGAAGAAGATTAAGACCTCCTGCTATAGCTGCGGGTTTACCACTTCAACACGGACGCAATATTTCACAACAAAAACACAAAAATGCAAATCGCTTTTTCATGATTTAACAGGTAGGCCTATATTAATGCTCAGTTGGTAAATGTAATAATTGACATTACGTTATGTTAAAATAATATTCCGGGGAAAACTCAATCGCCAGGACTTGTGGCATATTGTTGGAAAAAAGTAGCCTAAACATGTCAGATAATAGCATCAATTTTAATTTCACATTGACTTTAAGATTTTCAAGGACTCGAGATAAGAGGAAGATCTTCTCCCATCTCTAGATCATCATATTTATTGTGAGGATATGAAAGGCACAGATGATCATAAAACAATGTTTTGATGTCAGAGAGCCAGTGATAACAGTTTCCCACTTCATTTTGGCTGATTGTTTGATTTCTTAGACAAGAACTGCACAAAAAAGAAACAAAAAATGCAGTAAAACACAAACAAACAGAAAAAAACAACCTTCCACTGTGGTAACAAACCAAACACAAACACTAACACCACATGCATACATTGTCGATATTAAAAAAAAAGCCAAAAATATTCCACAACCTTCCACTGTGGTAACAAACCAAACACAAACACCACATGCATACATTGTCGATATTAAAAAAAAAGCCAAAAATATTCCGAGATGTCAGTTCGCAAGATGTGACTTCATGAAAGATGGATGAAGACTTAGTCTTGATTGTTTGTGATAATTGTACTTGTGAATTATTGATGAAACGCAAGTTGATTAGGTTCCTCAACCTCTAAAAGAGGTTGTCAACAATGGTACCCTTTATGCACAAGGCAATGATTCATACCAGACGTTGAGTACAACACAATGGAGACCTGAAATGCGGCTCAGAGGCTAAGCCTTATGGGTATCGGTGTTCCTGAGGCGTGCTTGGAGTCAGGAGTGCTTGCGGAAAGTGAAAATGTCTCGTGTCTTGGAGCCCCTCTTGCCCTCGTTGGGCTTGTTGGAGCTGGGTAAAGTTGGGCTCTCGGGGGTGGCGGTGCCTCCATAGGGGCAGCTCTGAGAGTCGGGATGCTCTCCGGAACATTCTATGGCAGGGATGTAACGGCTGTCCCACATTCCTGGCCCGCACAGTTTACACAGGTCGTGCAAGCTGCAGGGAATTCTGGGAAGAAGGCGGAACTGATAGAGCAGGCTACGTGCCTAGGATTAGAGACAATGAGAGAGAAAGACAGAGAAAGAGAGATGGACTGAGAACTGAAAAATAACAGGCAAAAACACTGCTAGAATATTATATTATACTACATTTCATATTTAGCTTTTTCATTATTTAACAAAAGCATTCCTGTAGCTAACAGTAGAAAATGCCAATGCCAAGGTCATGGGTTTGATTCCCAGGAAATGCATGAACTCACAAAATATGTAAACCTTGATGTAATGCGAGTTGTATAAAAGTGTCTGCCAAATGCATGAATGTAAATAAATAAACAGTGCAAATTAAATAATAAGATTGCTTAATAGATCAATCTTGCAAAACTGGTTTAAATTAAACAAAAATAAATATAAAGTGCAATTAAAATAATTCTAATAATGTAAATACAATAAATCAAAATAAATAATACATAGTGAAAAGTAAATATAGTGCAAATTAAAAAAAAAAATTAATTGTAAAACTGTGCAAAATAAATCAATAAATACTGCGATGAATAAATATTCAATCTATATATCAAGAGATAAATGAGGTAACTTATTAGTGATAATTTAGTATCTCATAAAAAAAATTATTCACCTAAAAATGTGAAATTGATCATAATTTACTTTTACCATAATTCTTTTTACATTACTAATATTATTGCCATATTTCTTTTTCCCCTCTGTGGAACACAAAAATATATTTTTAAAATTTGCTCCTAGAGATTTTTTAAAATTCTATTTGTAGCTTCACACTGACAGTTCTCATTAACTGCATATTATTATTAGACATTCTTTTATTCAATCAGTAAATGAATGAATAAAACGAATGAACAAATAAATAAATATCAAGAAACGCTGAAATCTTGAAGACAGCAGCCAGAATTGTTTTTTTCCGAAAATTCACTCTGTGTTCTACTGAAGAAGATTTTTATTTAAATGATGTATATATATTTGTATTTAAATTATTTATATTATATTATATTACTTATTTATTTATATAGATAATTATCAAATTATTTTTGGCCGCACAATTTATTGAACATATAATCACGGTTGGTCTATAATGTCAGCTTGACCAAAACTCGGGTGCGTTTGTTTCTATCATAATCTCTACGGTACAATTCGGATTTTGAGAAATATTTCTCCAGAGATGACAGCATGTTTGGCATTCTAACTTTTGTTGCTGTAAGAAAAATATGTTTTGTATGCAGCGCTAGAGAGATGCATCACTTCTGGATGACACAAAGACACAGCATACATAACCATGAGGAGCTCTGTCAGCGGTGTGTGTGTGTGCTCATACCTTCTTCAGCACCAGCTCTCCATTCATGTGCATGGAGAGGTTACTAAAGTGCAGCAGCATTTGATCTGTAGCGAGCTGCTGCTCTGTGACATCATCGCCGTACAGCACGATGATGGCGACACACAGGAACAGGTGGAAGTAGTCCGTCTGTCACAGAACATCCACATCCACACAGAAAACACACTGAGCCAAAACAGCCAATAAAATGACCAATAATGAAGGCCAAATGCATAAAGAGCCAATTAAAAAGCAGTAAATGTTGATATGCAAATGAGGGGGCAACGAAGAGACAAACCACTTTGCTCCCCAAAATCACCTCGTTATTACCATGCCAATGTATGCAAATGGATTCTGTGGAAACCTGATAATTAGCATCTCATCTTCATTAGACACTCTGCAGATCCTTAAAGTGATACAGACACCCATTCGTTTATCTAAATGGGGAAAAATTAGCATCTATCCAGCGAAAGTGCATTTAAGGAACAACTTCGTTTTGGTTTCCATGGCTTCAGAGATTTCTACATCATGCATCGGTTTGAACTTTCACCCAAAATTCTAGTTAGAACACTAAATACGTAAAAAAGAATAAAAGGAAGTCAAAAAGAGAAATTAACTTCTGCAGTCATAAACGCAGTCGGTTTCCAGTTCTTTTCAAAGGAGAAACCAACAATAACACAAAACCACACAACATTTAACCTATGAAGGTTTTTCAAAAACATACATTTTAATGTAAGATGATAAGATTAATGAATGACTAAATCAATAAATATTAATAAACACTAAAACACTGAAAACAGTAGCCAGAATATTTTTCAAAAACTCACTTTTTGTGTTCCACTGAAGGAAAACTTAAAAAAAAAAAAAAAAAAAGTTTCCCCAAGGTAACGTTATGAAGAATAAGTTGAAACGAGGCATCTGTAATGTTTTGCATCATATGTCATTATTTTCCAGCAAAAGTGTTTATGAATAAAGCTGTCATGGAGTTTCATTTTCATTTATAATAATAATAATAATAATAATACAAATTAAAAGGCCAATAATTTATTGTAAAGAATAAAAAACATAAATACTATATATATATTATTTAATCAATTAAATATTACATAAATAATTCATATTAATTAAATGCAAATTTAGCTGTGTATTAGTGTGTATATATTCAAAACAGAAATCATTACATTTCTAACAATGTCTTTACCATCACTTTTAATCTATTTAACACAATTTCTTAATTTCTAAGAATTTTTTTACTGACCCCAAATATTTGAATAGTAGTGTATATTGTAACACAAAAATTCTATTTTGAATAAACTGTTCTTTTTAACTTATTTATCAAAGAATCCTGAAAAAAGTCCCAAAAAATATTAAGCAGCACAACTGTTTCCAACACTGATTATAAATCAGCATATTAGAGGGATTTCTGAAGGATCGTGCGACACTGAAGACTGGAGTAATGATGCTGAAAATTCAGCTTTGCATCACAGGAATAAATTACAATTTAAAGTATATTAAAATAGAAAACTGTTATTTTAAACTGCAATAATATTTCACAAAATTACAGTTGTTTTCTGATCAAATAAATGCAGCCTTGATGAGCATAAGAAACTTCTTTAAAAATCTTACTGACCCCAAACTTTTGAACAGCACTGTATAATACACAGCTACAAATAAAATGAGCACATTTACAGGGCAACTAAAAACTGAATCAACAGCTTAACCTACAAAAACAGTTAACAGTTACAGATCAGGATGAATGTCAGTATTACTATTGGTACAAAACATCCCAAGAAGCATATGTTTTATTTACAAAGCCTTTTATGGCAACAATATTAGCTTATGGTGCATCGTAACTAATACCCGAGTCATATTTGCTGAACAGATACCTCATGCAGAAGCTCCAGATTGAACCTGATATCAAGCCCAGTGAGCGTGTTGTACCTGATAATGTGCCCAGCAGGCCTCCCACATGCGCAGGGCTTCAGCATCAGGGAACTCGCGCTTGAAACACAGAAGAACCCAGCGGTGGCAAAACAGCAGCTGAAGGCCGTCCTCACCCAGCCGGGTCAGATGCTGGTGGAAGCGAGGCAGCATCAGCCGCAGGAGCTCACGCAGGTACATCTGGACACACACGTACACATAACTAGAGCAAAATATTAACAACAACATTTACTCTTCATTTACTCCATGAGGAGATCTCCTCACCAGCTGCCTCTCCATGTCCTCATCTCTGGGAGAGCTGATGAAGATGGTGTTCTCCATGAGACCCACGAAGCACCAGAACGTGTCGCTCTCGTCCTGGATCTCGGTCAGAAGAGGAGCCACCAGGTCTGACATGCCCTGACAGTAGCCCATGTCTGGGTTAAACACGGCGTAGTTCAACAGGATACGTCTGGGAGACAAATGGACAACTGTAACTTTGGAAAACCTTATTTTCGATAATTCATCGTGTAAAAACAAAACAAAAAAAACACACAGGCTTTTTGCTGAATGAATTCATATTTTGCATTATTAATGGAATGGCACAGATTTATTACATAATACACTGAAATAGCCATAACCAAAGGAGAAAATACTCATCTATACTCAAACGATCTAAACTCATCTATAACCACAGTGGCCTCAAATGGTATTTGAATAAACTTAAAAATGTATGAATGTCAATTCAATTAGATAATAATAATAATAATAATAATAATAATAATAATAATAAGGAACTCTCAAGGACTCTGGTTGAGTCCCGGATGATAACCGAGAGAATCTCGAGATAAAAAAATAAATAATAATAATAATAATAATAATAATAAGTCATGTTAAGTTTGATGTGGCAGCTTCAGCTTTGTAAAATCCTATCAAATTGGTGTTTTCAAATGCAAGCAAATATTTCTATGGGAAGAATGAAATATTTCTGGTAGAGTGTCAATGAATATGTTTCTCTAACCTCATGATTTCTACATTGGGGTTGTTCTCTCCTCTAAAGAACATGTTGCTTCGATCAGTTCGGACAACATCTTTATCAACAGTGAACTGCACCTTCCTCCAGAACTCACTGTGCTCCTCTGGACTCATGGACAACCTGTGGAGGGAAATGGAGAAGCGGGAAAGATCAACCGCTACGAAAAAGATAAAGAGAGGTAAAGAGAGGGGGCAGCTATGACAAGTCAAGACAAGAAGCACATAACAGAACAAAAAATACAATAACATGAAATCAAATAATGAAAAAATTTAATAAAATAAAAAGAACATAACAGAAAAAAAAAAAACGACAAAAATATGAATGCAAAAAAAAGAAAATAAAGAAAACAACAAAATTAGAAAAAATAAATACAAAGTGGAAGAAAAAGAAACAGAAAGAAAGAAAATAAGTGGAAAAAAGAACAGAATGAACAGAACAGAACAGAACATGAAGCACCAGGTCTAAGGTGGTAACATTCCCATCCTGAAACACGACAGTCCCTCTGGCTATAGACATTCTCATAACAAGCAGGATTTCATTAACACTGTTTGTTTTGCTGGAATTGATGCCAGACCTGATGCAACCTCATGTAAGTGTTTCGAAACCTGTGTTTGTGTGAACTGTTCCCACATGGCTCTCTGACTCCCCCTCTGGCCCCTCGAGGTTCAGAGAGCGCTCACTGCTCAGCAACACCCTTCACACACACAAACACTATCAACCTATTCATTACTAAAACACCAACTAAATAATCGCTGCAAGAGCCGAAGAGTGCTGACATTATGACCAAAAAATACACTCATTCACTCACTCACTAAGAACACTGAATTACTGCACATACTTTTATAGTAAGTTTATAGCATATAGTACAAGTTTTTACTACATAAAATATATATGGTATAAAACGTATACTATTTTAATTTTTCCCATATAGTTTTATTACATAAATCATAATAATTCTAATCACAATATATATGATAATATATATTCAAATAATTTTTGTAAAAATTTTTTTGTAATCTTATTTTCTTTACTGTGGTAAAATTAATGTCTATTCACACACACACTGAACCCATGTAGGCTATTATTAAAATAACAAATATAATCGCTGCAAGATAAGTCTTGACATTACTGTAATAAAATACATTGATATACTGTACATATTTTTTCTTTTCCCACATTTTCTATGTAAATATTTTTAAATGTTTAATTTTTTACTATATTTTTACATATATTTTAATTTCTTCACTGTGTTTCATCTCTCTCCTTCACTGTCTCTATATAGAACTGAATTTTACCACAGTGAAGAAATCATTTTTTTTGTAATATTAATAATAATGTTAATAATAACAATAATAATTGTATGCACATCTGTATCAATATGAGGTTGTTTTGTGTCAATTTTGTGATTGACTAATAGCTAAAAATAATACATTTAATTTAATTTTAGTTAGTGATTTACTGATTTTTATTTTTAATTCTTTAGTCTTTAAAAACAATGTAATACATTTTAAAAGCACTGCAGTGTGTGTAACTGCAGTGGCATTAGAAATAAAGAATGAAAATATGCTCAAATCTGAAACACAAGCAGTAGGCTTCATAAGTGCTCTATCAATGGCTTGACAATGATTTAATTGATTAAGTTAATTATTTCCTCTGAAACTAAGCCGCAGAGCGCATATATCTGCACACATTTATTGATTGGTTATGACTCGGCTGCTAGAAAATCCTTCAGAGACTCACAGTGAGTAAAAAGACAGTACAGCCATGCAAGTAATAATCATTTTCAAATGGTCATGCGATAAATATAGTTCTACCTAAAATGGACCTTTGTTGCCAAGTCACATTTGAACAATTCTGGTTGCTGAAATAACAAAACTGACTATCTGCAGTCAAAAAGTGCTTAGCCAGACCTTTTTTTTTTTTTATAAAATTGAGGCAGAGATATGACTGAAAACAACAGCAAGCGGTTAAAGTGGTTAAAGGTGTATTTAGCCACTGCTACATTGACTTCATGTAATGATCCTGAGGCTCCGAGTGATTCACCAACCACAAACCCAAACACCATCAAGCTAACTAGAAAAGCTGGAGGATCAGCTAGCCTGATGTTTCACAACAGCTCGGTTTACATAGCAAATCTCCAGTTTCAGACTCCAGAAATATCCCATTTAGTAAACAACAGGTTATGTCAACCAGCCAATTCAAACAAAAGTGAGCAATCTAACAACTGGGTTTAGCTTCGTGTTTTTATCATGCCATCAACAGAAGTGAGAGGAGACACGAGCTAGCAATGACAAGTCACAGCTCTCTTATATTAGCAGTAACAATGGTAACATCAGTGAAACCTACATGGATAAGGCAATGAAATTCATCTTGGCAATGAAATTACTAATTAAAATGTTAAACAAAAAACATAGGTTTCATTATACTTTTACAGGTTTCATTATCATTTAAAGATTATAATAAAATCCTTTTAATTTATACATGCCTTTGACAAAAGATATGCAAAAAATATACATTAATCACCAGTATGGTCAATTCTTGAGTATACTGCAATACTTTACATTTAAATTCAACCACATTTAAAACAATTTACAACACGTGTTATTTACTTAGAGATCTTTTTTTATTAATCATTTTTTAACTGCTAAATTATGAAAGCTTGTTTGTTTCGCACCTTTTTGTCAATTTTATTTTGCACTCAACAAATAATGCAGCAATTATTTACATTTCTTTTTTATAATATGTGCAGAATAAAGTGCATTAATATGGATTAATATGCATTTTTGGAACTGGTTGATCATAGGCCTCATTGATCTGAGCTTATGCGCCACAGTTTTTGAGTGAAAAAAAGCATTATTTGTGGATCATTTTGGTAAAGTAATGTACACTCAAAAACTGAGGTGCATAAGCTCAGATCACTTGTGACCAATCAGAGTAAAAAAAAAAAAAAACCCGGAAATACAAAACCTGTGCTAACTGAAAGAAAAGTTGGCAATAATATACATTTTATAATCATTTAAAAGCAATTTTTTGTATGCGAGTCATTTTTTGACCAGGGCTGCATTTCCCAAAAGCATCGTAAGCCTAATGCCGGGTTCAGACTACACAATATTTTTGTCGGTTACGATAGTCACTGTGTCAGAGTTCACGATTTTGACTCCTAAAATCTTGTCGTGTCATGGACAAGAAACATGTCAGACTACACGTTGCTTCCCGACCATTCATCGCGTGCCGTCTTTAACGACGCGTCATCGAGAAGGCGGAACTAGCGACTGACTTCCGAAAACAAGAGTGTAAACATTGCTGAAGCGCTTCCGCTATAGTTCGCCAGCATTTTTCTTTCTTTGTTCTGTCGTGGTAGTCCCTCGATGACACATCATACAGGCAGGAGTACTGTTGCCACAGCTCCACGAACCTTTCCTCCATCTCATAATTCCACCTAGCAGCACCATCATCTCTCTTTCGTCTCGCCATGTTTGAAACCTGTGTATGAAAGAGCTTCTGTGCTGCTATTGGTCAACGTCACCAATGTGACAGAACTCGTCGTGGACGACGAAAAAAAATTAAACATGCTAGTCTTTCTGTCGTGATGTCGTGAAGCATCGCAGACGCGGAATCGGTTGTCGTCCAGTATGACACACTACACGTGCTGAAACGATGGAATCTTGCTTCCCGACGCCCATTGTCGTTTACGAATCCCCACGACACCCTACATCAAGCAAATCGCGGCAAAATCGGGCTAAAATAGTGTAGTCTGAACCGGGCACAAGTTGATCGTAGAACCACTGTCATCAATGGAGCTACGATCAACTTAAAGGGTTAGTTCACCCCAAAATGAAAATTCTGTCATTAATTACTCACCCTCATGTCGTTTCAAACCCGTAAGATATTAGTTCATCTTCAGAACACAAATTAAGATATTTTTGATGGAATCTGAGAGCTCTCTGACCCTCCATAGACAGCAACGCAACTGAAATGTTCCCA